ATCCTTGACAACATCTTCCCACCTGCAGCAGGCCTGGCTCCCCTGGGCACTGCTGGCCTCTCACATTGGCTATGCAGAGAGACCTCCGTGGTCTGAGCACGACGATTCTCCAGCGTTTTCCCCAGTGTTTAGCATGGCCCATCTCGGCAGTCCTGGAGGCGCTGAGTCGGCTAACAGAATTTTCCCAGGATCCCAGTCCCGTCTCTGCTTCCCGCTGAGGTCTCTCCAACAAAAACAAGTCCTTGGCCAGGATCTAAGCTCCAGGGTCTGTTGGGGAAGGGGACACTGGGACACAGCCTCTGTCAAGCACATCCTTCCCCTGATGCTGAAACCAGATCCCGGCAGCTCCCAGATGCCAATGGAATGCATTTAAGTCTCTCAAAAAAAGCTGTGCAGGACTTCTTCTTTGGAGGGCTGGAGGCATAAATGAGCAACTAGCAGCCGCCATGAGGAGGGGCTGAGTCACTTGGAAAGACCTTCTCCATGGGGCTTCTTCCACCTTGCACAGCTCGTGCTGATGGTACAACTGTCCCCTGGTAAAGGCCACTCAGGCCTTTGTCAAAGCTGGGATGTGTTGCTGGTCCCCAAGCTGTCACAATGACAGACAGACCAAAGGCTTGGCCACAGGGAAGATGGACGACACTGCTGCTGCACCACGCGCACCCCAGCACAGAAGGACCGTTCCACAGGAAGCCAAGTTCCAAGGGCCGCACTCTAGGATGGGCAGATGTGACGCCTCAGGCTATAATGTGCATTCAGAGAGGCTCCGAGTATTTTTTCCAGGGTAAGGGAAACGGTTTAAAGTAAAACAAAACATAATGGCAGCAGCAGCAGCAACATGATTTAAGATCTTCCCACTACATAGCACTTCCTGGCAGCACGGTACATGCTTCACATCCACGGCCTCATCAGAGACACAGGGGGCCAGAAGGGGGTTGGTTTGTCCCCAGTGGTGGCCCCAGAACGGTGACCCACGGTGCATCCTATCAAATTCCCTCTGTAGTTCGCTAGGTACTGCAAGGTGGTCCTGTCACTGGCTGCCCCCGCTGACTCTCCCCTTCTGGGCTGGCGCTTCCCTGCCCACACAGCTCTATGCTTTTGTGCCTGCTCCACCCTCTACCCGGGATGCCATTTCCTCTCCCTCCATGGACAACTTCTACTAATCCTTCCAGACTCCCCCAGGAGGCCTTCCCTGATCCTCCTGGCTCCAGCCCAGGCAACGCCAGGCAAGTGCCCCTGGGGAGCTATAGAACTCTCTGGAAAGAGCACCACCAAATCATCGATACAGGATGGCCTCATTGGCTTCATTCAGCTGTTGATACATCCCCGTAGAATGCCCACCAAGCACGGAATTGCAGCACATCTCCCCAGTTGGACCCCAAACTCCTCCAGTGCAGGGGAATGGATCTTACCTATTGGGTCCCCAGCACCTGGCAACGGCCAGATATATCTGAGGCACCACACTCAGGGCCTGCTAAGCTGACCTGGGGATGTGACCAGGATGAAAGTCCACGTGGGATCTGCCTCAAACACTTATTAACTCCTGGTAAGGGAGGCCTGGCTGGTGAGATTACTTCTAACTCCTCGGCCTGGACCCCAAAGTCCTCTGCTACTTTTCTGCTTGTGGCACCCGCTACACTTCCTGTGAACCTGCTGCTCGGAGCAGGCCTGGCTCTCGGCGCTTCTGCCAAAGCCAGCGTCGTTTTTATCTTCCAGCTATTGGGTCTGCTGCTCCCCTAGACTGGAATGCCTTCCTCATACCATCCTCTCCTTTGTCTACCCAAATCCTGAGTTACTAAAGAAAGAAGAAAAATTTTAAAAGGTTCTATAAAAACCAGTCCAACATCCTCCCTCCCTGAAGCTCTCCTAAAAACGGAGGCTTACACTGTTCTCTCCCACCAGAACAGCAAAGTAAAGTATTAAGGCGTACAATTTCATCTCGTTTCAGGTTTCGATTGTCTTAATACGGTATAGCAGAAAGAACACTGGGCTTGTGCCCAGAAAAATCTTATTTCTATTCCTGGTTCCCCACAAAATGATTCCGGACAGGTTGTTTCTCTGAGCCTCAGTTTAACCTCTGTGGAAAGGGTAAACTACTGTGGGGCAAGGGGTGCGTGCCTGTATTCCCAGCTACTTGGGAGGCTGAGGTGGGAGACCTGCTTGAGTTCAAGTCCAGCCTGGGCAACATAGTGAGACTCTGTCTCTAAAAAAAAAATTTTTTTAAATTAAAAAAAAAACCAAAACAGGTAACCTATTGCCCTGTTCAACTCATAGAGCTTGTTTTAAGACTCCAATGAGACAATATGTGAAAGAAACCATCGATTGGAAAGCGTTTTGCAAATGTAATGAAATGATACTATGACCTAGTGTTCTTGTGGTAAGTCCTCTGAAGCCAGGAAGCATGTCTCAATTGTCATTTATCGCCCACATCCACCCCCAACCCCACCCCACTCAACAGAGCGTTCATGCATGGATGGGGCTACAGTCAACACGCAGGGACTTTCACACTTGAGTGTGTCTGTTAATGTCATGGATCTGGAATATCTTCATTTCAAGCTTCTTCCCATTGGGCTTACGCAAAACATACTTTCCTTTTATCCCCAGAAAAAAGACTCAGTGGTCTTTTATGAAATGACTCTCTACTATGAACCCCTTTGGGGTGTTCAAGTCATGACTGCTAACATGGCTGGAACATCTCATATTTGGCCTCAACTCTATGAGGGCCAGCAATGCATGGATATACCTGATCCTTCCTCTCCATTTTTTGGCTTCCCATTTAATTCCTTTCCAGGATCTTTGCATAAGTCCACAGGAGGCCCCTAAATACATCCTAAATTCTGCCAGACCTCTGCAAATAAGACCATACTCCCTGAAAGCACCAGTGTATAATTGGTCTCCTATGTAATGAAGGAGCTTTGATATTTTTAGTGTTCTTCCCATACAACAAACACTATTAATAACATCCTTTCTCCAGAGATGATATGGATTAGACCAAATAGGAAGTTACCATGGCTACCGCAGTGTTATTTTTGGTATGAGAAATTGGTGCCAAGAGAAGCAGCATACATGGTCAAGAACTAGAGCTTTATTTCCTCTTTGCTATCAGGCAATCAATCCCAATTTAATTTTGAAACTCTAATTGCAACGGAAACTAATTATGAGCAGCAAGATCTGAAACCCCTAATTAAAGTGGGAGTCAATAAAGTGATTCGGCATCATCATTGAGGCAACGGCAACACTGGCAGGATGAGGGAGTAAGTACGAGCGGATTTCTTTCCCAAGGAATGGGCTCAGCAAAACAGAACCAGGAAACTCATCTTGAGGGTGCAGTTGGGGAACCCTAGGCTGGGACTAAGGCTCCCATTTCTGGTGCATGAGCAGATCAGGTCCTTTTTCTCTGTGCTGTGAAGACTCCAACAAACTGGGGTAGGGAGGAAAGGAGAGCATTTCCACCACAAGTCAACCTCCAAGGCTGGCCAGCTAGAGAGGTCGAGAAGGGATAAGCAGAATGATGGTGGCTTCACTAACTGCGCACACTCTGTGGCCCTCACTACCTAGCACGCAGGCCTCGGGGCCATAACGGCCGAGGAACAGGGTTATCCAAACAGAATCTCATCCCTCAGACCCAGACAGTGATGGGCTGATTCCTCACATACCAAATGCTGAGTTGCACTTTTCTGAATTAGCAGAAGTTGGCTTATGGAAGGACTTCTATTAGAGTGAAAACCCACTGCCAATCCCTGAAGTGCACCATTCCCTTTGGGGCCTCCTGGTCTATCTTTGACGGCTTTAAAATACTGTTAATGGCATGACTTCATCTGCCCCATGCTAGAACGATCCATATTTAGGCTAGCAACCACACGGTCCTCGCATCACTCCTCTGGGCTCCAGGACAGAAAGGGGCTCTTAAGTCAGGAAGCGAACACTTTTAACCCATAATTACCCATCCTCCATCAAAGTTCTTGAAAAAGTGGCAAACAATGAACTCTGCTGGATGATTGAACTTTGCTGATCTCAACACTCCAACCAGAGGAAGCCCACCCTCCTCTCTTTCAGAGCCTATTTTTCCACAGAGGGGTCTTTCTCCCACTAAGGGGTAGTTTTCCTGAGTTGTTTTTCTTTTTTAAAGCACACTGAGAAGAAAGCAGCACAACATCACAAGCCTGTTTAGCCTTTTCAAAGGCAATGAATAAGCCGGTCCCTCAGGAGAGGGAGCAGTGCTGCAGGGTGGGAAGAATTCCTTGAGAGCTTTCAGACTCCTGTTTCCCAGGAATAAGAGAGGTCCACAGTCGGGCTGGGGCCAACAGCTTTTTCCGAGGCAGGCAAACCCCAAGATCGATGAAAGCCTATATTAATTTTAATTCTTAGTGCGTCACAGGCAGGCAACATAGAACACAGGCTTCATCCTGAATTAGTCAAAGGAGGTTCTCTGGATATTTTCATCAAAGTAGTGTATTGACATGTTACACAAAGCCTTTGGCACTGCTGTCTCGTAACAAAGGTTAAAATGTGAGCAGTGAAAAAGACGGCTCTGAACCCTAAAATATTTTGAAGGCTGGCTGCAATTTGAAAGATGTTTTGTGGTTTCCGTGCATGATATACATTACTGACATATCACGGACCAGCAGATTAAGCAGAGAAAGGGGCTCAGCTGCCTCACATTCATTACAAACAAGGGAAGAGAGACAGAGACAAAGAGAGAAAGATCACTCTGCCTTATTGAGCTACTTTGGTATAAAATTTCAGCCTAAGGAAACTGAAAGTGTCCTGAAAAACAGCTTCGTCCCAAAACAGACAAGGAGCCCCATTCTGTGCCGCTGGATTCTGCTCCCAGGGGAGGGACACCACTAGGAGCTCGTGGACACGCATCAGTCAAAGCAGGCACCTCTGTCCTTACAGCCAGCGAGCTGCAAACTTTTTTCTAGTGCCCTTTAGAAAACTAATGCTTTCAGGAACCCCAGGAAGATTTAAGATGTACCTTATCTCCAAACCACACCTACCTTGACTCCAATGAAAGACTTGCGGTGATAGAAGCAGCACAGAGCTGCCGAGACAGCGTGGAAAGCATTGCATTCCTTAGGCATCTTTCACTCTTCAGTCCCAGGGACCACACACTTTCCTTAGGGTTAAAAGAAAAGAGGCTTCGGGCGTTGGAGCCCCAGCCTCACCGGAGCAGCAGCAGCTGTGCGGCTCCAGCGCGCAGTCCGGGGCTGGCAGTCCGTGGCGGGGCGGTTGGTCGGCTCCTTCTCCCAGGCCAGTCTGGGCCGTTCCCCTCTGCCGAAGCCAATACGATCCACTCACTCAACTCTGGCAGGCTAGTGTCCAGCCTGCCATGCACACGGTGCCAGAAATTCTCATGTGACCAGACTTGCTTTCTGATGAAATTCTAACCCCACTTAGAAAAGGCCTTGGGCTTTAGCTATCCCCCTCGATTTAGAGACCCGGCAGAAATCATTAACTCCCCAGGCAACCTTTCCTTCTTGGGGCTGAACTGCACCATGCAATCTGCTCCTAGTGGCTTTATCTGTTTGCTTGTCACCCCAACACCCAGGGGGTTTAACGAAGCAGGGCAAGTTGTACATACCACACCACCTTGTTATGAGACAGAGACTCCTTTGAAAAAGGAGGTGGCTTAAAAGTGACCAGGGCATGACTTTCCTAGGAGCAATCCCAGATGTCCTAAGTAACTCAGGCAGGATCCCTGTCCTCACTCTCCCACGCCCACCTCCAGAGCTGTTTATTTTTAATTAGGATACTCCTGGCAGCCAGTTTGCAGATGATAACGTTGGCACAGCCATCACTACTGGCAACACAATATTGCCTTTTGGTGTTTAATTAGCAAGTCCGTCAGCAAACACCCTGAGCGCCCTCTGCCCTCCCCACCTGACTGCACAGTCTGTTGGGAGGATGGGGACTGCGTGCCGCTTCTGACACAACTGTTCGTCCTATGCCCCTGCTTCACTTTAAATACTTCACTTTAATTACCCATCTCCACTTTAACTGCCCACTTTGCCAAACCTAGACCCGGCACACAACCCTTGCATCCAATGTGTCCAAATGAGGCCTTCCTAGATACTCCTTCGGTGAGAAGTGTTTACCCCCTCAAGAGCCTCACAACACCTTTAAGGGAAAGTTATTGCTTTTCTTCTTTCACTCAAGTTAATAGTGGATCCTCAGAAATTCCATTTTTTATTTATTTTTAAAAAATCAAATCCAGGTTTCTGCCTGTAGCTCTTCTTCTCCTACTGTTTCAAATATTAACTTTTTGTAGCTTCGGCCACTCAAAAGTGGAATGTGTCCTGAAGCTGTCTATAACTTCACACAGGCAGAAACTTGTAACGAGGAAGAAACAGAACCTATTCAGCCCAGAAAGGAACAGCACCAGATGAGGCATGAGGGAGGTATGAGAAATATCCAACGAGATTAGTGTCAAATCCTCAGGCGGCCTCGGCCTTTGGACTAGGTCAAGTCTGCCTGTAAACACAGGGAGCTGTTTGCAGCGAGCAGGTACGGAAGCCACAGACCTCACGCCCAGGGCAGAGGCTCAGGCTCGTGAACATGCCAAACGTGGGGATGGAGCTACTCAGGCTCTATCACCACAGAAACAACTGGGAGGCTGCCTTCCTCCCTGCTCCTTCAACTGGTTTCCTCTCTTACTCCTCCTCTGTGACTCTGGAGGTCAGGTTTGCAGTCCTGGGTACCCCTGGGTGGCCCACTTGGGCACCTGGAACCAAGCACACCAAGGTGCTAGAACTCAAAGTGGTATTTGAGCTGGAAGAGCCTTGAAGATCACCCAGTCAGTGGGTCAATACTGTCTACCCTAAAGGAGCACTTCCTGGCTCACCCACGTTTCTATTAGATGGGGTTCAAAGGGTGAGTCCACATGAGCAGCCTGGGCCCTTCCCCCCAGTTTTGTGGAGATGACTGATCAGTCAGGACATTAGCTACCAGGGAAAGGGCATAGTTTTCACCTGCTATTGCTCTTTGGCAGAAAGTAGCACTCCTTCAGGCTAAAAAAACTCCCCCAAGAGGCTAGAAAAGCACCATCCCAGCTCCTGGAAAAAGAAGGAGAGCAGCTCCTTAAATCCTGCCAGAAACTCAGTGAGATCAGTCGGCCAAGAGCCTCTGAATTCTGGACATTCTTCCCCCAGAAATTGTGAATGAAAACTGCATTCTTAAAAGTAAATATGCAAATAACTCAGACATGTAAATTACATAGTAATGTGATCCAGAGCCAGGGTAAAAACAAAAGACATTCAGACCATTGTAGAGTCACTGCTCTTGTCACCTGAGGCTTTCCCTGTTTGCTCTAAGAAATCTCTCTAAAATGCCCAAAGAATTCCTTCCACCGGGATTAAAGAATGGGCTAATCTTATTATGTAACTATTTCCTAAGCACCTTTCATTTTTGTTCTACACCAAAAATAATGTCTGAAGCAGCACTTAAAGGTTTTAATCAATTTTCTCCCAAATCGGGCAAGGAGAGAGACAAAAATAACATGTTATCGCAACTAAAGATGATAATTGCATGAATTTGCAAAGTGCCCTTCACTGACTTGTTATGCTTTTAAATGTCTCCTACTCGCGCTGATCAATGCCCCCACATTCTCCCCACAATGATTATTCTATTCTAGTTACAAAGAAACAGAGGACCAGAATGGTGTGTCACTCAGCAGAGAACAAAGGAGCAGAAACTCCAGCCTATGACTGCAGAACCTGGTATCCGATCATACGGAAAAACAAATAAGAGCGTTTCTTTTAATGTCATACAGTTAAACCTGTTATTTACGAAGCCCCATGAAAATGCTATGACCTGCAGCAGTGGGTCAAATGATTTGGTACATGGGATTTAGGATTAATCAAATTTGGATTCAGAGTTTTCTAAACACCATGCCTTTCTGGGGACAAGGGAGCATGTCCAGTGAAATCCCAGGGACTGATGAAGGGAAGGAGGGGCCAGCAGGGCAGCACAGGGCTCTGGGAAAGCTCCCATGGGGGCTCTCCAGCGCCCCCCTCTGGCTGCCCGTGAGGCTCGCGCCTCTGCACCAAGGGAAACACCTGTGAAAGAGGCCAGGGCTGGGCAACCAGGTGGACCCTGAATCTCTGTTACCTGAGGTAAAATGTTGCCTCCCCAATCTGGGAAGGGGGTTAAAGCAGGCCAGGGAACGGCCCCTGCATAAGCATTGCCCTCGATGCCAGTTTTTCCTTGGGCAGCCCTAATACTAACCTGCCCTCCTTAGTAACCATGGAAACAGGAGCTGCCTGCCAGCCACATTCAACAGACACATGCTTCCTGTTGGCAGCAGCCTTTCGCTGAGAAGTCAGAGACAGAGAGTGCAGAGTCCCTTTCCCAAAGTGCTGCGGTCCTGGCTAGAAGATCAGGCTCCCAGTGAGGTAGACCCTCTCTCAGGGCATGGGACAGGGGGCAGATGGCAGGAGAGAGAGATGCCTACCACGTCTCTGCTTTTCACTGTTTCAAGGCAATCGGGTAACAATACTGCCTGTGGCCACCAAACCCTCCCCAAAGCCACCCCAGAATCAGGGCACCAAGCCTTACGCTTTGGTACCCTGGGTCACTGTAAAGTAGCCCTGCAGACAGTGACTCTGCCCATGGCCAGAGGGCACTTTATGGGCCGAGGCTGCAAAGCCCACAGTGAACAGACCTGAAACATCAAGTTGCAGGGAGGAGCACCAGTCGTCTTGATCAAAACAGCTCAAAACCTCTTGTGGCAGCTACTGAGATTCTTCATCCCACCCCCTCTCCTCCAAAGATCAATGCTTTTTGCTTCCACTAAACCCCAGCGACCTGGCTCTCAGTAAACAAAGACAGCTTTAATGAGCTAGGGAGTGAGGCTGACAAAAACCACCTCCATTTCTCCTGGCATCCTAGAAAGTGGGCAAAGATTAGCCTGGGCCTGCCCGGCCTGGCACCAGCCTAACATCACAGCGAGGATGCCCTCCGAGGGCCCAGCTGCCTGGATAGCAGAGTGGCAGGTGCCTAGGAAGTCCTGGGCAGAAAAAGCGTCAAGTTTTATCAGAAGCCCCACTACCAAGGCTTCTGCAGGCAACCGCCCTGTCTCTGATTCTGAAAAATAAACCAAGAGGAGCTCATGCATCTGCAAGACACACCCTCAGACAAAGAGCAAGAAGGCTTGAGTGGGGAGAGCTGGGAGACCAGGGAGGGCAGGAGAGAGGGCTTTGGGAAAACGTCACCTCCTCTTCTGGCCAGGCTAAACAGCTACAGAAGCTGCCAAAGACAGTTCAACACATTTCCCTACATGCAAATCCAATTGATTTCTTGCTCCAAAAGGGAATGCAAACTGCACCCGATGAGAGAAGGGTGGGCAATGCTGGCCGAGCTCTCTGGGCCCCTTTGTGCACTGCTGTGGTCAAGACGTTTGCTTGCCCTGGTGCACACAGAGGGTGCATTTAGGAGTGCCTGCTATAGACATCTCGGTCTGACAGTTTCCCCAGATTCCTCAAGGGGATGAAAGAGTATGGCTGTTAAATGGTCTCAGTCCGGAAGCAGTATTGATCTGCATAGAACACAAACAAAGAGACTAAGTACAGTCTTCACAAACAGATTTCTTTCTCCTGGGCCTTATGTCTCCCTTTACAAATTTCTGTTTCTCTAGCTAGCTATTAAAATTGCAGAGCTGAATAATGTGAAGCAAAATTAGGCCCCTGCCCTGGTTTTGCTTTCTCACACTATTGCATACAATCCCACTCCATACACCCCCACCGATACCACCTATTTGCTGGTTATCACCCCAGAAATCCCATATTACGCAAGCTCAATTTTCTGTTTTTTTGGCATTAAGGCAAAATTAAAAGAACATGCACAAGGTATAATCCCAGCCTCTCAAACAGCAGACTCAGCCTATCTGACAGTCTTGGCATTCTTTGAGATTCTGTGAAAGCCATGGGCCCTTCCTCTAGAGCAAAAGGCACATACTTGCAAAGCTTTATATAAAATTTCAAACAAATTTTTGTATTATTGTATTCCCTGAAGCCCATCCATACACCCCCTGGAGTCTGACCCATCTGAGACGAGTTGCCACCTCCTTCCCAAGCTTCCTGCGCTACACCTACTATGTAGGCTTCACACCCAGAGCAGTCATTTATTTCTCCTGTCACCTCAGTTCCTAGGTTTTCTTTGCTGTGCCTTTCTCTCTTTCCTCTTCCTTCCACTTTTGAGAAGCATGAGCTATGTAAGTAACTAACAGGCAACGACCACAAAAGCCCCGAGGAGCCCCTCCCACACGAAGCGCTGCAGAAATGGGCCGAGGGGCATCTGCAAGGCCCTCAGGAAGCCTCACCAGCCCGGAGCCACTGCCTCTCCCATCTCCACTGACGCTCGCTCGTCCTCCCGTGTCACGAGCACCTCTACAAACTGGCATCTTCCACAACTGAGCTGTGAGACAGATATCTGCATGTCTCCAAAGTGGGTCCAGAACATACCCTGGAGGTAGGACAGCAGAGGGAGAGCCAGGGTGGGTTCAAGTCTTTGCTGGACCACTAGCTAGCTGGGTGACCTTGGGGAATTAACTTCTCTGAGTCTCAGTTTCCTCCCTAAACTTGCCAGGTTACTGTGAGCATCAAGTGAGACAACACATAAAGTGCCTGGCACCCAACACATGGTAGGCACTCAGCAAATGCGAGCTTCCTTCCCCCTTTGAAGGGACCACACACCTGTCTACCTACTGCTCCTGCAGGGCACATGACCACCCACAGGCTGGGCTACAGGGGCCACGTCCCCACAAGAAGAGGATGGACAGTCACCAGGCCTTGGGCCACTGACCATGGACTGCATCCCAGCTCGTATACTTAGGAAACTCTTGAACCTTAAAAGCCACGGGATTATAGGAGACGTTTTAGAGTTGTTTAGCCTTAAAATATATATGTTAGCTTTTAAATTTAAAAATTGCACATTAAAATTACACATATGGTTTTAATCACACTTGCTCAGATGGCTCAGATGATTTTCTACTCCAGAGTTATTGTCATTTCGGGAGTTAACAGGCAGGGTGTATATGCACAGCTTCTGCCCACCTGGCCCTCACCCAGGGACTCCTGGGTTTATCCACAACTACCAGGCTCTCGACGTAAGACCCTGTCAGAGCCAATCTGACTGGGGACCCTGTTGGCCCCCTCCCCCATGGGGTGTGGGTGGCACCCCTCCTTTGGTACCAAGCTGGCTGCAGAGCTGGAGTCAGCCCGTGTCCTGGCTGGATGCCCTGCAGGATCCTCGCTACCCCAGCCTGCCCCCTCCTCCAGTCCAGCCCCGGGACTAGATCTTCCACTGTGTTTAGTGTGTCCAGAGAACCACCTCCCATGTGGCTGGCTCCCTCATACTTGGCCGGCCCACATTACTGGGTTAGCTGACACCAGCTTTTTCTAAAACTAGAACCATGCCTAGTGTGGCTCCTTGGGTGCTGTGCCCCTCTGCCCAGCTGCCCTCTCTAGAATCTGTCTGTGTCAACCCCCAACCCCCAAGATACTGCTTCTGCTTGGACCTTCTCCTGTCAAACCCCTAATGACAGGAATGGGCCAAAGTCACAGTGCAATCTTCCAAAGCCATCCCGCCAACCTAGAAAGGCTGCCAGATGTCTGAGTGGATGAACCACAGTGAGAGGAGGAGTCAGGCTAACCCCACCCATTCCAGCCTTGACAGAAAATGGGTTTATCAGTCCCTTCTCCTCTGTTGTCAAGCAAATTCTAGGTATCTGAGCTAAATATTTCAGTGGGAAAATATTCCTTTTCCAAAGTCATAAGCTGATCCTGAGCATTATCACGGGAGTGACATCCTGGATAATTCTGCATCCTGCCAAAGTAGCTATGAGAGTCAGTCTAGTCTAGGAGCTCTTACCCTGGGGGTGGACTGGGGCTTCCAGGAACTGCTGGAAATTGCACACAAACTGTTGTGTATCTGTTCATTGAGGAGAGGGGTCATTACTTTCACCAAATTCTCAAAGAATTATGTAACCTAAAAATTTGTACTGATCCAGAAAGACTTTCAGTGGCTAGCAGGGAGGGAAGTGAGAATACCATGATGGTCACAGACGTGAGCAAGGATAGAAAAAGTGCCCGGCTGGCTGGGTACCCTGGACACAGTCTGGCCTTGGCAGGGCTGTGGTTGGAAAGAGGAGGGTATAAACAGCCTTGAGACGAGCGGGGTCACAGTTCCTCACAGCTGCTGGCATAGCTTTGCCTGCCTGTGAAAGAGGGGAACCCCTCACTCAGCTGGGAAGGGCCTTGTTTGCATATAATACTTGGCACAGTAAGCATGGAACAGCTACAGGTTTCATTGTCAGCAACCCCTCCTGGCCACAGACTTCAGGGATTTGTTCAGGAAGACTGTGGCAGTCACAGACATCTTTCCATGTCACTCGGCCCGTGTGCAAGGTCTGCAGGAGCCAGCATTTCTACAGAGAACTTTTACCATGGCGCCTCACTGAATACCCACTCTAGGAGACGGGTATTACTATCTCTATTTTACTTGTGGGATCAAACAGCTCTTACAGTTAATAATTAAAACAACATGACGCAGAATGGCTGGCTCTATCTGATGTGATAATGGAAGCATGGATAACACCTGGTTGCCAGGAGTGCTTTATCTTGTGCAAATCCAAAAGGCAGCCCTCCCTCCAACCAAGGGACAGATATTCTTGGCAACACTGAGAGCAGCTCTCATCTGAAATATCCCCAGTCAGAGATCCTAGTCCACTTATAGCTGACAGGAAGGGCAGGGCATGCTCGGATGGATGCTAAGGTCAGAATCTGAGAAGATCCAGGAGGCAACAAAG